CCTGTCAGTGGCGGCTCCTGCCAGCCAGTTGAAGATTGAACCCCCACTCCGGCAATGGTCAGAGATTCAGCAGGAGCGAGATTAAGAAAACAGCCGAATCCCGGACATTTTGGACAATTAAGAAATCCCGGCCGGACGCATTTTTTTTAGGTCCAAAAAGAGGAAATGTCCGGGGAAAAGAGGACGTATGGTCACCCTAAATAAAAGCGACTAGCCTATTTATTTGACATTGGTGTTGGTCATATTGCTGTTCTTTTCTGTTTAAGACTTGAGGCCATCTATTAGACTGATTTTACCATGGTAAGTCTTCTACTTTAATGCATGGCCTCTCATGGCTTATTTCATAAATAAATATTATTTGTGGTGGTCTGGACAATCAAAATATTTTTTTTCTTCTTCTTCTTCTTCTAAGTAGTACTGAGATTCCTGACCATTTTATTTGAATATCAACACATCAGTAATATGATAACATATTTACAATAGGGCGATGTTTAACAATTTACGTTTTAATTTTGTTGCCCAAATGGATTTCGGAAATTCGGATCACCTCTGTGTGGACTAGCTGGTAATAGTGCACACAAGCATATCAGTTCAACCTTCATGCCTAACACTCGCACACATTAACATTTCTTAAAAATATTTTTAAATATTCGATCAGTTGTGTGTTTTGGAACAATTATGTATTATGTACATATATGTGTGGGGGTGAAGGATAAAAGGAGCGGATTATAATTAGTTGATCTGGGTATGTATCGTTAGTTTCCACACTAAGGGCTGTAAATCGATGAAAGATATTTTCTGTGTGTGTCAATGCAAGTATAATTTATAAAGAATAAATTATATACACTGGCTAAAATGATGGAATATACCATAGGATAGTTTTTTTTATTATTATTAAATGTACTGCAGTAATACCATGGACATATATGTTTTCTGTCATGATATGTTTAAGTGTCTTGTTGCATGAATATGGTTATCATTCTTTCCCATGATATAGCCCACTGTTTATTGAAATGCTACTGGTATTACATTACTATGGTATACCACAGTACTTTGTGATACCCACTTACTACATTTCTCCCTCACACACCTGCCATTTGATCGAGTTTACCAGTAGCAACAGTGTCACGTCATAGTGAGCTCATGATGCAAGATGAATACTTTGACGCTTTTTCTGACGTCACGCCGAAGCAGATCCTCAAGGCGGGAGAAATGTTTCACCATAAAGGCGCATTCAGATGGTTCATGTGAAATCACGTTGATTAATTAATTAGAGCTGGATGAGAGTACTCAAAGCAGCAGCACAGAATGTAAATTCAGTACAGACAAAGCGTCAGTATGTGAAAACGTGAACATAAGGGACGCTACAGCCACCGGAGGTAGTGCGAAGAATTGCAATCAATCTGCGGTAGCTGTTAAATGTGTGTGAGTGTGGCAAGCAGTTTTAACATTTATTCCTTAAAACTATCTTATTTTGCTACTAGTACTTATCGTCTAATTACTAGTAAGTTGCTAGACATCACCAGATATATATATAAAATAACGCAGAAGCAAACAATCAGTTTTTTTTTAATTCCTAATGACAGAAATACATAATAGAGACAATGTGCAGGCCAGTTGACCTATCGGTAAGCCCCTCCCCTCGAATGCAGATGAGCCAATGGCAGTTGAGTATCAGTTGCACGCGGACCGGAACTTGTACGTCTTTAGGTTTCAGCGTCATAGAGAAACATTGGAAGATACCAAGCTCTCATTGCTTTGATGGTGTTTATGCTACCAAAAAATGGTAAAACAATGTGCCTGGGGTACACGCAGAAGCAAACAATCAGTTTTTTTTTTTTATTCCTAATGACAGAAATACATAATAGAGACAATGTGCAGGCCAGTTGACCTATCGGTAAGCCCCTCCCCTCGAATGCAGATGAGCCAATGGCAGTTGAGTATCAGTTGCACGCGGACCGGAACTTGTACATCTTTAGGTTTCAGCGTCATAGAGAAACATTGGAAGATACCAAGCTCTCATTGCTTTGATGGTGTTTATGCTACCAAAAAATGGTAAAACAATGTGCCTGGGGTACTTGTAGCACTGACTCCAGGTATCCTAAGAGGATAGGCAATAGAATTTGGAATATTTTATCATTCAACATTCATTTTCTGGTTGTCATACTCATTAAGTTAAAATTTTCATCTGCTCAAGCAGAACGTTAATGTCATCTTGTGTTTCAGCAAGGGATCTCTGGCTAAAACTAGATAAGGTTAAAGTTAGTGAGACCATGCTAATGTACAAACATAAATAGCTAACTGTTCTCTCATCATGTACAGTATTGGTTAAAAACACGTAAACCAAATTCTACATACCAGTGCCCCTCCATATTAAACTGGTTAAATGTAAATTAATTTAATCGTACCCTGTGGTACATGTTGATCCTGGATGTTGTCTTCTGCGATCGTGACGACCCTAACATGAGGTTTCTCCAGCTTGCATTGTGATCTGTAAAACCTTGCTTCCAAATTAAACTTGTAACCCATAATATTCATTTTAAAATCTTTTATATATCCCTCCATGGCATATTTAAGTCCCACTTGAATGCTCCTCAACGAGAGGTGGTCCTTCTGTGTCCAAAGTTTATCAATAACATCTTGGGACAAGGTTTTCACACGGACAGCTGTCATTGTAAGACTCCGTTTGTTTGTCTGAGGGAGCAAGGGCGGTGGGGCTTACCGATAGGTCAATTGCTGTTAATGGTTTTTATCTTACTAATAATATTTTTTTTAACTGTAAAATTGCCACTCTGACAAGTCTTTACATACAAAGCAAGAAGAAACGTTTCTAGTAACAACTGGCATAGCTCATACAGTAAATGGGTAGCTGATAAATATGCGTTAAAAGTACCAGTAAATGATAAAATACATATGAGAGTGAACTGATATTTGAACCACAAATAATGACGGGAATTTGCCATTTGTTGATACAAAAAAAAAGGTATGGGCTACCTTTTACTATTGGGATAGTGACAAGCAAAGAAACAGTTAATAGTATGAAATAAATAGTTACTAGTGAAACTGAAAAAATTAGGAGACTAAATTACTTGAAACTATTGGAGCTCTAGAAAAAAATAATGTGTATACGGCTTGCCTTAGCGCGTGCGCGTGAAAGGGAGAGAGAGAAAGAGAGAGGCGGACATCGGGATTCTGGACTCCTGAATCTTGACAGCTGTGTGTGAAGTGCGGAATGGATATCTGAGAGACATACATCTTCATTGTTCACGAGTGGGAATAATAGGCTAATAGCAACTATCGCTATTATCAGATAGCGGTGAGAGAAAAGAAGACGAATCTCAATTGTTTTCCCACTTGCACGCTAAAGAAGAGGACTCGTTTATGAGTGAGACAGACTGAGAGCAGATGAGAAGTCGTGCCACCGGATGGTTTTTATTATTTGTTGTTTTTTGATGCACGAACGGACTCTGAAATGGGTCGCCATGACGACAGAGCGCTGAGTTAGCTGCTAATGCGTTATACGCATTTGTTTCTGTTATTGTTTTATTTTATCATTTCCCTACCTCCTTTATAGTGATAAAATATGCTGTAACCTCGCCGTCAGAAGACACGGGTGTTGTCAGATAAAAAGAAAGAAAAAAGGAGGAGGAGGTGTTAGGAGGTTTATTCCCCCATTCTTTTTTTCCGTTTCTTAATTTTCTCTATCCTCCTTCCTTTTTATGTCTCCTTTCTTTTCTTTCTGTTTTTCTTTTATTGTTTTGGGGTCGCCGACTGACGCGAAATTGATGTGCGAGAGCCTGCGACACATTCATGACGAATTACCTCAGAAAAAAATACCGATGGCATAAACACCGGCTTCACCACTGAAGTACGAATAATCACCGGGAAAGAACCGGAGACGCATCGACTACATCCCTTTCATCGCGGTAAGCGGGTTTCTGTTGTCTGTTATTATAATACATATATGTACATTTGCACGATGTGCGCGAGTAACGCGCTCTGTATCGGTTTGGCGCACCGTTCACGAATGAGATGTCTAATTAGAAGTGTTCAATAAAGGTGCGCTTTTGTCAGGCAATGCCGACTGCCATGGCCTGTTGATAAGAAAATAAAGGTTTTATGATTGACACACTTGGCCATCATCCGCATATCCTACTGTTTTATTATGGCATGTCTCGTCTGCTTCAAAGAAAATCGACGCGTTCATCAGATCTAGAATAAATGATCTCGACGCGACGTTGTCGCGTGGCCTTTACCGGCCATTTGCGCCTCTAATTGCATCCATCGCTCGTCCCTCTGGCAACGTGAGGATTGATTTATTTTTGCACTTGATAGATAATGGTAATGCGCCCTGAATGATGGCAAACATCCGCAACCCACGGATTCCCATCGCCTGTTAAATGTTTAATGGCATTTACGTAAGTGTGAGATAGGATGGAGCAAAGACAACCCATCTAACCCAACTGCACACCCACGACGCACATGCGCGCATTAAGTATGGAGGTGTATATGAAGCCATGGCTCTCACAGAGGGGCACATTTATATGCTGTGGTGGTTGGGCAGTGCTCTGTCAATGGCAGAATTCAGCACAGACAAGGAGTCCTCTGTTCTCCAGAAGGCTGAGGATGTGCCCGTTCCCAACCCAAGTGCTGGTTGATCGGTCTAATGTCTGATATGACCCGATGTAGATCGTTTAGTGCTACTAAATCTGTCTGCTGTCCTTGTATGATGTAGCAGAGGTGAGGTCTTCATGCTGCTCAAAGCTTTCCATTCTTTGCTGGAGTTCTGCTGCAGTCCCTCACGTGGATTGAGGAGAAACTTGTAGTTGATTTCAGAGCATGTGTCTATGTGGAGCATTTGGCCTTCAGACTTCATGTGTGTTACTGTGCACATCCATCATACTGTCTTACATGAGATAAAAAGACAAAACCCCTTGGTTGGTGACCCATTCTAAAGAGGACATAAAAATCTATAGAAATAAGGCTAGTATTTGTATGAATCAAATCTTTAGACTTGGAAGGTTTTCTATCATTCGCGGAATTCAAAATGCTGTTGATAAAAATAAGCTGTGGTATATTGTTTTGGATGATTTACAAACAGAAAGGATGGAAGGACCAGAAATGATTATTTTTTTAAAGCACTTCAGACCAAGAGAAAGACCTAAGTGATGATTTAGGTTGAAAATGACTGATTCTATATGAAATTCAATAGAATATTTGTTATAAGATTGTACATTTAATTCGGTGACGATTGTGTTTTTCACATTGCAAGAGCAGAATACAAAGAAAAGGCCATGAAGCCACAACAAAGAACTTGTTAGAGACTAATGGAACTCCTGTTACATTAATGTCATAAAATACTATTCAAGTCAGATTGACATATAATGATCAATCGTTAGAAAATCAATTTAAACAAAGAATTTGTGCTTGTTGTTTTTACAGGGTCTTGCATTGTTTGCTCTATTTCTACAGTTCAAGTGCATTATCCCCTCTCCCATTCCTCTTTCTGCAGTGCTCAACTGAATGCCCACATCAAACCTGATTTTTAATGAGTCTTACAATATGTTGATAGATAGATGACGCACAGCCGGAATACCCTGAAGTCAGGGCAAATGGCCTCCGTTATTGTGAGCAGAACAACGTTAGAGTGCTGTATACCCAGGGCTGGAGTGTTTGTGATGTAAGGGGGACAGAGAATTGCTTATGTCTTAGGTTGGCACAAGCCTCAGAACAGGTAAATAATGAAGAAAAGTGCAGTGTTAGCTTGATGTAACCCCCTCCATGTGCCCTTCTGTGCAGCCTGTGGTTTTTGTGTGTATGCCGTCTTGGGAAGCACTCAGATGGACTGCAGCCTTATTAAACTTTAACATTCTCTGAGCACTGGGCAAAACGGAAAGAGATGGGTTTTAGACTTGGCCCCTTTAAAATGGAGTTTGTGAATAAATCAGAAACATCCTTATTGTTTGGTGCTAGTGTCTGGCAGTGATGGACAGCTGTAATTTTGAGAACAGAACTTAAGTCTTGATTCAGAGTGCTTTACTTATTCACTTATGCAAAAGAGGGATAATAATATTAACAATTCATGATGACAGTAACAATGTTTCCTTTCTTTCACTCCAAGGAATACCCAAGGTCAGAGCATCTTTTTTTTCAGTTCACACATGCACAACAGTATTCGTCAGACACTATTCTGTGTCCATGCGGAATTTATTGGAAAGCTTTCATCTCCCACAAAAGCCCGACCTCTGTCTAGTCTTGTAAACGCAATGTCAGTGAAATTGCAAAATACCGTTTTTATTCAACATTATTATCTCTTCGTCCTAGGACGCAGCATTTGAGTACAGCAATTGTACAGATAAGCATTTCTGAATGTTTATGCCTCTCACAAGCGAGCATTATAAACCTTCGCTCTCCTTGAAGTGTCACACAACCCTTCTTTTACATTTTTCAAAGCAGCCGTGACCCGTGAGTTGATAGCGGTTGATTTTCCGCAACAATGTCTGATCGTGGTACACGCTTTCTGAACTCCACTTTGTTGTAGTAGAGTTGCGGCTGTTGCATTGTGTGGCCTGGTGTGCTCAGACATCTGTGTGCCATTATCTCTGTCCCAGCATGTGCAGCATGATCCGTTCACTGTAGACAGCATTGCCACAAGCAATGAATCATCGACTGAACCTGACAGCCCCCTCTCATCTAGATCTATATTTCAACCTCAACACATGATATGTGGTGCCCGATGCCCGACAGAGTCCTGCCGTTGTTCTGAGCTGTAAATGCACTAATAAAGCCGTAATCTTCCCTCATAACTTTACCTGGAGGTACCTGCACCTAGCTCCTTTCAGAAGAGTGCTGAGTCAAGTTTCCTTCTTGTCCTAAGTGACAGATGCAGAGACATCTTGTTAGAGAAGCTCTGGACTGACTTTACAGCTCTCTCAAATAATTCCTGTCCTTCAGAAGTCTGGAATCCACAGATAGACATGCTAAATGCCACATCTGTGGTCTATCTTTCTTGGATAGCAATGAAAAAAGGCCGGAGTGTCCACTCATCTTGAGTTTTGCCCAGGACTGAAAGAACCTGTAATCCGTCAGAAAGATTTTTTTAGGATGGTGCTGAGCTTTAAAGTTGCCTAGAACATGGCACTCCCTCGCTCTTCAGTGCGCAGCCTGAATCTGAAAGGAACTGGGAGGGAAATGAACAAAAAGGACGGGAGTAAATGGAGAAAACACAAGTAAAATCAGTGGATCACCCTGTGGTTCAAGGAGTAACTGTAGATGGTGGGAAAGCGGATTGATGTCACTTGGAAAAAAGGACTGATGCAGTTTTTCCCTGCTGTTCTGAAAACTGTATTTAATTATTAATTTGTTTGGAAACCCAAATCACAACTGGGGCTACATTGCAGCTATAGAGCAGTGATGGAGGTTCATTTGTCCTGGAAAAACTCCAAACAAACATGGCAGTGACAGAAAACAGACGAATGGATGGTCCGTTTGCATCCGGTGTTCCTTGATTTAGTCAGAATTCGCTCTGTTAAGCTTTCTGGTTTAGTAAAGCTTCTGTGTACTTTAAGTGTGCTGCCTTCATTATTTTACCCTAATGGCATAAATCCAGCATTACGAATTAATTACAGAATGTAAAATGTGTCCTGTTTCAGGCACAGTAAGTCGCCCTGAAGGTGAGCATCTGGCTTTGTTGCAGTGTGTTTTTAGAGTGGAAAATGCACCAAAAATTATGTTGAATAGTAGGAGTTTATCAAGGGTGTATGTTTAATGACTCATCCGCTGGTACAAGAAGACTCGAGTGAATGGTGACACTCTCGAACTGATATTGACATTCTGCAGGTTCATTTCAAGCCAATTATGGACGAGGTGATGATTGTAAAATTGCGTATTGATCTTGGGTTTTAGTGTGGACGCTCCCGCCTTTGAGTGTTAAACATAGTCGAGTGCTGCCCACTGTAATCACATCAAGAAACCTCCCCAAGATTCCCTCTCTTCATTCTGAATGTTGATTGTCTCAGTCTCTCTGCAACACATTCAGTTGTCCCTCACCCAGTGTCAATGGATGAAAGTTCCTAGGCTTTCCTATACCAACAGGCTTTGAGAGAATCCAGAGATTTTTGATGGTTGTGACCTACAAAAAAGGCAAACTCTGTTATGGGCTCATGGAAATATGGAACCAAGATAATGTATTTCTAGGTTTTTTTATTGGCATCAGTGTTATGAAGAAGCTATGGAAGCTTTCCATTGCACAATTGGTTCTTCACATTAAGAAAAAAAAATGCTTCTTTTTAGAATTGGTTCTTTTAAGAGTGTAGATTCTGTGAAGATTTTGGGAGGTAATGGATGCCAGAAATGTTAAAAATAGTATTTTTTAGAGTTCTCCTCTCTGTATTACTGTATCAATGGAAGTACTACGTGCAGCTGTCGCCTTGCAATGAGGATTAAAAGCTTGAAAAAAATTTAAGGCCAGTATTCATTTCATAGTTTTGCAATGCTGTTTTTTTGTGTCTCCGGCAATATGTTGGTAAACAACTCTTGCACTTTTCCATTTATCCTACAGATGGAGTGAATGGAAGCTGCTCTGGCAACATTTTGAGAAATCAGGCAGTAATGACAGGTGCATTGGATGATGTGAGAAAATATAATAGCATTTCATTTCCAAACCAGCTTGAACAACTACTTCTAATCATGCGTGCCATCACGCAGCATGCATTAATATCTCCTGTGTTAAAGTGAGAATGAAGAATAGCGGCATTATGAACCTGAATTAATAATGAATACTAGCTATTGATTGTCTTGCTGGTTGAGTCATTCTCAGAATGCATAAATCGATCAGTTACTGACTGAGCTCATCAACAACTCGTGCGTTGACATTCAAGTCTAGTAGAGATTTTTTTAAATGCTGTTTTCTATTTTGTATGTGTTA